TTAAATAAAAAGTAACAAAAGAAAAAAAAAAAAGGAAAAATAACTATATAATGGAGTCTCCTGTCATGGCCTTGTAGGGCTGGATGTCTGTAAGCCTTTGTCTGACCCAAAATGTCATGTTTTTAAAGCCATACTTCATTATCATGGCGCCTGCTAGCTGTAGTTAAAGGGCTGTTACCTGTCCCATTATAAATCCCTACTTCCAGGAGTTTATAATTCAGTAGTAAAAAATTGCTCTAGGCTTAAACTTGGCATTTGAGGTCTCTGCTCAAGAACAATGGTGATTTTATTTATTTATTTATGCACTTTCTTAAACACACACACAGACAATCCATTCGGTGGATTTTTATTGTACCTTTTTGGCATTAAAAAAAATTAAATGGCTAAATTATGAATGTTTCAATCCCAACTCTATGTAAATGCACAGGAAATGAACTGAGGTCTGAACCTGAAAAGTCTGAGTGGGTGAGCTGCAAAGGGGAGGTGAGAATCCAGGACATGCTCATGTCAGCCTGGGCTTAGTGAAGGAGGTGTGGATGGACCTGGGTGCTCCACTTGGAGCTGGTCCCCCCGGGGTGCCTGCCCTGGCATACAGTCCAGCAGGACATGGGTAAGAATCCACAGCGAGTTGCAAACAAAACTAAAACATTAGGGGTCATCCTTTGTGCTGCATGAAATGAATTTTCTTATCCTTTCTCAGCACCTGTATTGGGTAAACAGGTGGGGAATGGGAGAGAAGGGTGAGTCTGAGAGATGCAGCAATATGCAATTCTCAGCATGCAAATAAGGTGGTTAGTTATTAGTACTCTGTCTTTCATGCACGTACCACTGAAGGTTGTCCCCATTAGCAGGAATTTCTATACTTCATGGGTGGAGTTGGTCAACCTTTTCAAGTGGAAATGTTTTCCATCAGAATAAGCTGATTCAGTACATTTCAGACTGGTATCCCTGACTACTTAAGTAGAATATGTCTACTTAAAATGAAATGTCATGGTGAAACATAAAGTGATTTGTTTCATGTTTTTGACATGTTTGAGCTGTCTGTCTTTTTTTTTTTTTTTTTTAATTTTTTTTTTC